CTGGAAGGAGGAGCATTTTGGGGTCAGGTAAAAACCTGGCACAAGGGAATCTCCCAGGAATCTCCAAGGAAGACCCAGCTTACTCTTAGCAATAGCAGATACACAGCCTAAAAAGGCCAAATCCTGTGACCAGACTGTGGTGCCTAGCCCAATTGTCATCAGAGAGGCTTCATCTAGAAACTGATGAAAACAGATGCAGACCCACAACCAGACATTAGGAAGAGTTTGGGGATCCTGCAGAAGAGAAGAAAGACCTGTGGGAGCCAGAGGATCGACTCTGGAAGAAAATCTACAGAATCAACTAACCTGGGCTCATAGGGGCTCACCAAGGCTGAACTGACAACCAGGGAGCCTGCATGGGACTGACCTATGCCCTCTGCATACATGTTACAGTTATGTAGCTTGGTCCTCTTATGAGATTCCTAACAGTGGTAACAGGGACAGTCTCCAACTCTTATAGGACCCTACTCCTCACACTGGGTTACCTTACCCAGCCTTAATACAAGGGGAGATGCTAAGTCTTACTGCAATTTGCTATACCATGTTTTTTTATATCCATGGGAGACCATCCTTTCCTAAACAGAAACACACCATGGTTTGTTGATTTTTTTAAAAAATCCTGAAGAGACTGGGGACATACCTAAACATAATAAAGGCAATTCACAACAAGCCTATAGTCAACATCAAATTAAATGGAGAGAAACAAAAAGCAATTCCACTACAATCAGGAACAAGACAAGATTGTCCACCCTTTCCATACCTATTCAAGTCTCAGATAGAGCAACAAAGACAACTGAAGGAGATAAAGGGGATACAAATTGGAAAGGAAGAAGTCAAAGTACCATTATTCACAGATGATATGATAGTATACATAAGTGACCCTAAAAATTCCACTGGGACACTCCTATAGCTGATAAACACTTTCAGTATAGTGATTGGATACAAGAATAACTTAAAAAAAAAAGCAATGCTCCGACATACAAATGACAAATGGACTGAGGGAAACAATACCCTTCACATTCAGCACAAACAATATTAAATATCTCAGGGTTAACTCTAACCAAGCAAGTGAAAGCCCTATATGATAAGAACTTCAAGTCTTTGAAGAGAGAAATTGAGGAAGACGTCAGAAGATGGGTAACTCCCCATGCTTACGATCAATAAGATTAACATAGTAAAGTTGTGGGTTTTTTTTTTGAAAGATTTCTTTATTTGTTATATATACACACACCAGAAGAAGGCATCAGATTCCATTATAGAAGGTTGTGGGCCACCATGTGGTTGCTGGGAATTGAACTCAGGACCTTTGGAAGAGCAGCCAGTGCTCTTAACCTCTGAGCCATCTCTCCAGCCTGATTAACATAGTAAAAATGGCAATCCTACCAAATTCATCTACAGACTCAATGCAAGCCCCATCAGAGTTCCAACACAATTCTTTACAGACCTTGAAAGGACAATTCTCAACTTCATATGGAAAAACAAAAAACCTGGGATATCCAAAACAATCCTGAATAATGAAAGAACTCCTGGAGGTATCACCACCCCGATTTCAAGTTGTACTACGGAACTATAATAATAAAAACTTCATGGTATTGGCATAAAAACGACAGGTGGATCAATAGAACTGAACTGAAAGCTCAGACATAATTCCACACACCTAAGGACATACTAGGGGAAAAAAGACAGCACTTTCAACAATTGGTGCTGGTCAAACTGGACGGCTGCATGCGGAAGAATGCAGATAGATCTCCATGTGTCGCTCTGCACAAAACTCAAGTCCAGTGCATCAAAGACCTCAACACTGCTCCATATACACTGAACATGACAGAAGAGAAAGTGGGAATAGCCTGGAAGTCACTGGCAAAGGAGACAACTTCCTGAACAGAACACTGATATAGCAAAGGCACTAAGATAAACAATTAGTAAATGGGGACCTCATGAAGCTGAGAAGCTTCTGTAAGACAAAGGACACAGTCAATCAGATGAAATGGCAGCCAGCAGAATGGGAAAAGATTCTTATCAACGCCACATCCAACAGAGGTCTCATATCCAAAATTATATAGAGAACTCAAGAAGCTAGACAGTAAAATACAATCCAATTAAAAAATGGGGTACAGATCTAAATGGGGAATTCTCAATAAAGGAATCTCAAATGACTGAGAAGCACTTAAAGAAATGTTCAGCATTCTTAGCCATCAGGGAAATGTAAATCAAAATGACTGAGATTCTATCTTACATTTGCAGAGTGGCCAAGATTAATAACACAAGTGACAGCTCATGCTGGTGAAGTTGATCGCTGGTGGGGTAAGGGGAACACCCCTCCATTGCTGCTGGGAGCGCAAACTTGTACAGCCACTATGGAAATCAGCATAGCAGTTCCTCAGAAAATTGGGCGTTGATCTACCTCAGGACCCAGCTATACCACTTTTGGGCATATACTCAAAGGATGCTCCATCCTACCACAAGGACAGTTGCTCAACAATGTTCACTGTGGCTTTATTCTTAATAACCCAAAACCGGAAACAACCTAGATGTCCCTCAACTGGAAAATGGGAAGAAAATATGGTACATTTACACAATGGAATATTACTCATCGATTAAAAAAAATCATGAAATTTTCAGGCAAATGGATCCAATTAGAAAGAATCGTCTTAGGTTAGGTAACCTAGACAAATGTGGTATGTATTTACTTATAAGTAGATATTAGCAAATAATGAAGCTAAAATCCATAGACCCAGAGAGGTTAGGTAAACAGGAGGGCTGGTGGCGGGGGTGGGGCACTGATGTCCCTTGGAAGAGGAAACAGAATAGATTCTGTGGGTGGACTGGGGGTGGGTGAAGATGGGAGCAGAGGGGTCAGGAGGAGGCAGGGGTGAGGTGAAAAGGGCTCTATAGCTGGAGAGGGAGGCTTTTGAGGGGGGATGGTATGGAAACCTAGTGCAATAGAAACTTCCTAGAATCTATGAGGGGGCCCTTAGTGAGGACTCCTAGTAATGGAGGATACGGAGTCTGAACTGGCCATTTTTTGTAGCCAGGCAAGTCTTCAGTGGTGAGACTGCATTACATTCAGTTGAGATGTTTGCTGAGGAGGTCCCGTGGAGATCCCTAAGCAACCCGGACTGAGCCACGTGGTGGTGACACAGGTCTGTAATCCCAGGAAGACAGAGGCAGGTGGATCTTTGTGAATTTGAGGCCAGTGTGGTCTACAGAGCAAGCTCCAACACAGCCAAGGATATACAGAGAAACTCTGTCTCAAAAAACAAACAAAACAAAATTGACAACAAAAGAATAACCCAGACTGCTGCTAGGACAGAGACAGGCCTCTGAAAACTGACAGTGGGGTCTCACTGTTGAGGACAACTTCCACTCAGCCCACTGGACGTAGAGGTCAAGCTGGTGCAGGTTTGGAGCCTTCACCCTACATTCTAGTCTCCTTGACCTAAGAAGGTACTCTGCAAGCTATGGAAGGAGAAACCTAGACACCAAACCAGGACCAAAGACCTTGACCTACAATCTGTCCTGCTTGCAAGATGTGCTGAGGCAATGGTGGTGGAGACCTTGTGGGAGTGGCCAAACAATGTCTGATTTAACTTGAGACCCACGCCACAAGAGGGGACCCAGGCCCGACACTGCTTAGATGGACAGAAACCTTAAAAAGCCTTTTTAAAAAATCAACGAAATGATTCCTAATGATATTCTGCTACACTCGTAGATTGGTACCTATTTAGTTTAATTTAAATCATGGGAAAAGGAAGGACAGCAAATTCATTTGGAGATCTATGAGGAGTATTGATAAACACATCAAGTCTAGCTGTACTCAAAAGGCAAATGCCGGTCAACATTAGTGAAAGTAAGATTCAGAGACAAGGAGGCACATCTTACACAAAGTCACACATTGCATAATGATGCTTCAATTGGCAATGGACCTAAAGGTTAGAACAGAGCTGGAAAGTACCCACGTTCCAGTAGTTCACCTTATGACTCTTTATGGGTTTGTATGCTGATACAAAGACTGGCTGGAGAGGGCTCAGTGGTTAAGAACACTTACTCTTTCAGAGGACCCAGGTTTGATTCCCAGAACCCACATGGTAGCTCACAACCATCTGTAACTCTAGTTCCAGGAATCTAATGATCTCTTCTGACCTCTGCAGGTATCAGACATGCATGTGGTACACACACACACACACACACACACACACACACACACACACACACACACGCAAAACATCCCTAAACATAAAAAATAGAAATATCTAAAACAAATACACCACTGTGTCACTAGTCACATAAGCATACAACATGTGCAATTATGTGCAGTACATATAATACTCAGTAATACAGCAAAGGACTGTTTGGTTAATTTTCTATACTGTGCTTTTCTTCCTTATTTTGGAGGTCCCCTTCTACTTATAAAAACAAATCAACCATAAAACAGCATGCTGTGTTAATGGTGGCAGCATCAGGCCCAAACAGCTCATGTTTACTATGTCTCTTAGCTGCATCAAAAGGTCAACATCTAATTGAGTTATAACATCTAGGATTTTTTAAAATTTATTTTTACTTTAAAAATTATGTTTATATGTTTGTGTGTATATGATGGGGGAGAGGCGTGTTTGTGAGTGTTGAGTGCCCTGCTCTCTGAGGGCCAAAGAGGGTATCAGATCCCCTGGAACCACCATGTGGGTGCTTGCCTTCTGCAAGAGCAGTGTGCAACCTTAACCTCTGACCCACCTCTCTAGCCTATCCATACATGTTCTTGTATGTAAGCTCTAAGGTCGTCATACAATAGCTCATCATTCAGCCTGAGAACTGGTGGCTGTTGAGTGATATGTAACCATACTTCCTCATGTCATAAATATTTATGGAACATCTACAATGTGTCAGATGTTATGCCAACAGTTTAACTACAATGATGAATAAGAGCCAGTTTAGCAGTTAGCAGAGACAGACACAAATAAAAATGCTCACATTGTAGACAAGTTAAGATTTCAAATTCTTACCCGTTATTAAATCTGCAGGTATTCTATCAGTCAAGAAATCAACCACAAGTATCCGGCTTGTTGCAAATATAATACCACCTTGTGTGTACACTTCATAGCGACTGTTACTCGTGATTTCATTTGTCACACGTCGAGGGAGGTGTTCAACTCCTTCTATCTTCAATTGATTGATAAAATATTCCTAAATCAGATTAAATTCATTAGTAAGCTATTTAATAGGGGCAGAGTACTATTAAAATAGGATGCAGGGATTGAAAATGATGTCTCTACTCTCAGATTTGTGACCATCATAGCAAATATGCAAACTAAGTTATTCTGGGTTACATTAAGGATTTTGCTGGAAAAAAAAAAAGGATTTTGCTTAGTTGTGCAAATAATTAATTGTGCTTCAGTTATCTGCTCCCAACCAGAATCCTTTAAAACCCTGGGGTAAAAGTTCTCTACTACCTAGAAATTACTTCCCACCAAAGCCACGCTTTCAGCCAATATCCTCTGTAATAAGGGATTCCTCTCTCCAGACAACGCTTTAGGCTGTTAGTGCTGTATTATTAGTTACAGCAGTACTGATGCATCCTAGAGAGACTTCAGAACGTCCATAGTTTCCATGACTGACAGCCTCTCCGTTCAACGTCACTTTCCTGGGCATCTTACAAGTCCCAAGCCAGGCACTGGAGATACCCAGAGGAGTCCAAAAGAGCTTCTTCTCAGCTGACACTTTCTTCCTGGCCCATCACTGTCCTTTTAGGGACCCCACTCTGCTGCCCCCAGAAATACCCATAATACTTAACTTCTAGGCTCACACATTACCTTACAGCTTTACTCTGTATTATTCTGACAGCTTCCCTACTTTTCACTGCAACCCAATCCACCACCCTACCTTAAATGTGTACCCTAGTCGCCCTCTCTTTTTCACTGTCAGAGAGTGTGTGGGAGCCGTATTCTCAAGCTGTGGGCCCTGTATCTCTCCCAAAGAGCTCTACTCAATGGCCTAGCTGTCAAGCAAGGAAGTCAAGACTTCCTGGGGTCGCGTTCCCTCCCGCAGTGTTGGAGCCCTAGATCTCCTTCAAGGACCCTTGCTCAGTGCCCTCCCAAGTCGCGACAGGCACTTGGACTTCCCAGGGTTCCCTTCCCTCCTTCACAGTGTCCAAGGATTATGTAGGTGCCCCGAATCTCCCTCAGGGACCTCAAATCATTCCCTTTCTGTTCCGTTTGAGACCTGCGCTGGCTCGGGGACCCTGCGACCGCACAGCTTCGCGTTCCCGCCGCGCCGGTCTCGGCTCGGATGTCCCCACGCCCTCGGGTCCACCCATCTCGCAGTCGCACCTCCTCTGCTGGCTGCGTGTTGAGCACCAGCACCAGACAGGCCGGGTGGCAGTGCAGCCGCAGGAAATGGTAGAGGAGCCGGTCGGCGCCGAGCCCGCGGGCACACACCACCAGCCCGTCGCTGTCGAGGAGTTCCAGCACCAGTTGTCTCTCGTACTCCAGCAGCGGCGCCATTGCTTTGCGAACGGCGGGTAGGACCCGCTCCATGGGCGCCCTTCCGGGGCCTCGGCCGGACGGGGGCGGAAAGAGCCGAGCCGAGCCGAGCCGAGCCGAGCCGAGCCGAGCCGAGCCGAGCCGAGCCGAGCCGAGCCGAGCCGAGCCGAGCCGAGCCGAGCCGAGCCGAGCCGAGCCGAGCCGAGCCGAGCCGAGCGCTGCCTCATCGTGACGGAGGAACTCCGAGGTCCGACGAACGCGGGACGAAGATAGTGACAACAGCCGTGTCTGAGACGAGAGTGCGCTGGACGAAGCCGAAGGGAGTCCAAGAGGAGAGCCAACCGATTGTAGCCAAAGAAGAATCCAGGTTGGAACAAATGTGTCCCGAATGAAGCCGAGCCAGAGGGCCGGAGGTAGCCGAACTTAGCCGAGAGGCGCCGAAAGCAGTCGAAGGCGTTAGCGCGCGGAAGCGTTAACGCGTAGAAAGTTGTCTCGTTCAGGTGGTAACCAGGTGACTTCGGAATTTGCTTCTTTAGATCTAGAACATAAACTAGCAAACTGCAAACAGAGAAGTCTATTAGCATAACCCTCCAATATCGACAGTTCAGAATGTTAGCTGTCAATATTCCAAGAGCACCCAGAATCGGCACCGCTTGCCGGAACAGCATACAGTTTTCTCTACTTTTGTGATTATTCCCTTCAAAATTTTTTGAATAAGCACAATATTTTATGAATTTCTGCTTCTTGTTTGCAAAACTCGTGAATAACATGCTGTTTCACAAAGTCTCAATCAGGTACCTGCCAGTTGCAGCCGCGTTCCGCCTTCCACTAGAGGGACACCTTGGGTCGTGTTTGTAACTGCCTAGAACTGGTAGGTAAGCACATCTAGAACTGTTCTCGCTCCGAATCCCCCAGTCCCCTTTATTGTTAGCCCATAAGAAATACTCACGCTCACACGCACACACACGCACACACCTTTTATCTGTATGCAATAATAAATAACCTGAGTTTGGTCTTATACAGGTGGCATAGGCTGCAATCCTGGCTATTCCAGATGCTGAAGCAAATTCAAGGTCAGCCTGAGTTACAGATGGGGACCCTCCAACACGAAGTATAAAGAGTGCTGGTATTAGATCAGTGGTAGACACCCCCCCGGAATTTGTCACTGATATTTCAGGAATTTCTGATGTAATAATCTTTCAAAGTCCTTCATATGGTAGAGTTTTCTGTAACGTGGATGCATGTGCTTATTTATCTAATTACTTATTTGAGAACAATTAGTCAGCTCCCTCCACCAGCGTTAAGCATAGCTAGCATTTCACTAGCTGCTTTGTAGAGAAGTTCAACCAAACCCTCGAGGTACCTTTCTGGAAGTGGATGATTAGTGGGATTAAAAAGGAAATATTTATCTGAGTTTTCATTACCTTTATTACATTGCCTCCCAGAAAGCCTGCCGATTTCCCTTCACATCAGCAGCCTATAAGAGTTTCTCTACTGTTTCCTCCAGTGTTTTCCTTACATGGAAGTGGAAGCAGACACTTCACATACAGCATTCCCTGTGAGCCATGCAGTTCTGCAAGCGGGTTACATAACCAGGCAAGGCCACAGAGCCAGGTGATATATTTCCTAGCTTTTGTTCAGGATGCAGTAAGTAGGGAGTCAACACATGCGTGGGTGACAATGCTGATATTTACACCCAGTTCCTCCCACACTGACAGGCAGAATAATGCAACCCAAAAGATGCCCGCATTGAATTCCCAGAACCTTTTATGTTGTTTTTCGTGACAAGGAGGAATTTGTAGGTTTGTTTAAGCTAAACTCTTGAGATGGAGCAATGGATGGGAAATTATCCGAGTGTGCCCAATATAACCATAAAGGTGTTTACAGGCAAGGGGGAGGCTGGAGGGTTAGTCAAAGGAGATGTCAAGGGGGAAACAGGTCAGAGTGAGGTATGAAGGACCAGGAATGCAGGCTTTAGAAGCTGGAGAAACATGGTTTCTTCTCTGGACCCTCAAGAAATATAACAGCCACCTCCTACAATCCATTTTGGACATCTGGTGCCTACAGCTGGAAGAAACTGCATTTGTGTTATTTTAACCCCTGGGTTTGGGGTAATTTGCCACAACAATAATAGGAAATGAATACACAAGTGTTTCTTATTTTGACTACACTGAACTCTGAAGATTAAGTTCTCATCTTATAAAAAACAAACCAGCAAACACCATAGATAAGGGGGCTGGAGAGATGGCTCAGAGGTTAAGAGCACTGGCTCCTGTTCCAGAGGTCCTGAGTTCAATACCTAGCAACCACATGATGGCTCACAACCATCTATTTTGAGGTCTGGTGCCCTTTTCTGGTGTGCAAGCATACATTCATGCAGAACACTGTATACATAATAAACAAATCTTTAAAAACCCAAACTGTAGATAAGAATATATAAGGAAACAATTGTTTAGAAGGTCAAGATTTACTGAAAATTCAAGCATATGTATAGAGTGACTGGGGTATAGCTAGCAGGGAAAGTGCTTACTGTGAAAGAATGGGTACCTGTGTGTCAAGAATGGGTACCTGTGTATCAAGAATGGGTACCTGTGTGTCAAGAATGGGTACCTGTGTGTAGTCCTAGAACCAATGTAAAAGAACTGGAGAGTTCCATTGCTGGGAGGTAGTGACAGGTAGGTCCTGAGGCTTGTCATCCAGGTCAGTGAGACAAGTCTATTTCCAACACAGGGTAGTTGTCAAGAGGGCTCAGTGGGTAAGATGTTTGTCACTAAGCCAGACTCTCTTTGGTCTTAGGGCTTCAGATGCTGAAGTTGTTCTTTGCCCTCCACGTGTATGCTGTGGCTTGAACCCCTCATAAATAAATGCATGCATTGAAAAAACAACCAAGGTGAACAGTTACTGAGAATTGACACTCAAGGTTAACCTCTGGTCACAACACGTGTGTGCACACAATACATATACATGTGTGAGTGCACACATGCACACTCACAATAACCATATGGATGTATAAATGCATTAGTATTTATTCTTCCAAAGAATGTTAATTAGGTATACAATGTGTCAGGTCCTGTACCAAGGGTCTTACCAGGGAATAAATCAGGCAAAATCCCTGCCTTATTTTCTTCTGTGGAGCTAATGTATGAAGAAATCTATCGATCATTTCGTTATGTGAACGGTGGTTATTTCTGGAAAATTTTTCTTAATTGTTCCATCACAAGAAAGTACTTGAAAACTTTTGATTCATCCCTAGTAAGCTGACTATCAGAGAGCTATTAAAATCTGAATGTGGAAAGGGACCAATATCTAATATATACTGAAAAAAAGAAAAAATTGTAAAGCAAAAATGGATAGCATGGTCCCACTTATATCAATAGTTATTTTCCCAGGACTGCACATAAAGTGCTGGAAAGAAACCAAATCTCTCAGCACAAGCAGGCGTCTTTTAGGGGAGTTAAGGGGTGTGTGGGGAGGCAGTTAGCATCACCTTTGAAACTTTACTAATTCTGTTTATTCCCTTCTGTACTGTTTGCCTTCCTTCCCTGGTACTTACATTGCATGTATAATAAAAATGAAAGTAGAAACTTCCCAGATACTGTGTAAACACTTCATCAGCACCAAAAATTTTACCCTGTGAAGTCTATATTTAATATGTGCGTGGTGGGCAACAGCTAATGTCTCATGCTGGCATCTGAGGCGGTAGATCTTTGTACATTTCGACAGGTCCTTCATAAGCAGAGTGATGGTTTCCCTCCCATGTTATTATCACAATGATTCTCCAAGCCTGTATTTCTTAGCCCGATTTCCCTTCCTTCCCATTCTCCTCTACTCCTTCTTTCCCCTTTCTTTCCCCTCCCTCTCCCTTGGACCCTTTCTCTCTCCAGACCTACTTCTTTCTTATTTTGTCCACGAGGATATAGGCAGGCCCTCACTGGCCTTTGACATAAGGCTAGCAATGAGATTAAGCATCATTTTTCTCCTACACTCACCAGTCTCATGTCAACTGCCAGAGCCAGGCACTGACATCTCTCTCAGCATGTAGTCTTCAAACTATATGTAGTCTTCCCTTGATATTCATGGGGATTGGCTCGAGCTCCCCTCCCCCAACACTGTCAAAATAAGCAGATGCTCAAGTCCATTGTATAAAGGGGTACAGTGGACTGGAAACATGTGCTTACCGAGCATGTGCAAAGCTGTTCTGGTCCCTGCCATGGAGTAAAACTGTGAACTTGAAATGGGGAAGTCTTTGCATAGAACCTCAGCAGTCCTGCTGCAGTTTGAACCATCACTGGAGACTTGTGATACCTAATATTACAAGGGCTGCATAAACATTGGCTATAGTACATTGTTAGGGAGAATATTTTGACAAGAAAAAGTCTGTTCAGGTCCATTCTTTAATTACTTACAGTTGCCATTTTTTTCCTGTCTGTGATTGGTTAGATGCATGGATGTGCAGTTTAGAGATACAGGGTGGTGGTACATCAGATCTCATTAAATCTAGGCCGTTCTGGGATTCCCATTCCTGGAGTTCTCACTCAAAAAGAGGGTGATAATCAAATGTTTTAATTTTGTCTCTGTTGCTATGATAAAACATCCTATCGAAAAGTAACTTAGGGGAGAAACAATTTATTCAGTTCATAGTTCCAGGTCACAGCCCACCTCTGTGGGGAAGACAAGGCAGGAGCTCCATTCCATCACACTATCGGGAGCAGAACGTAATTAGTGCATGCTCATTTTCTTGCTTATTGTACTCAAATCCAGTTCTTTACTCACAGAACCCTGTCTACGGAATGGTATCACCCACATCAATTAACTTAACTAAGACCAAGCTCCCACAGATATCCAGAGGCCAACCCAGTGTAGATAATCCTTCTCTGAACATCTCTTCTGGGTGATTCTAGATTTAGGATGTTCATGGAGGGCAACAATTAATGTCACATGTTGGTGTTTGTGCCAAGTTGGCAATTAAACATAACAAAAATAATCCAATATTAACAATTGGGTTCAGAGGTCTCAGAGTGCTTCATAAGGGCTCCTCCAGTCTGGTTGTCTATGATGGCTTGTCAAAGGAGGTAGTGTCTGAGCACAACTTTGAGACCTGGCTAAATAGGGTAAGGAGAGAAAAACGTGTCTTGGTTAGAGGAACCAGAAGCATAAATCCTCTTAAGACAGAAAGGAGAGCAACTAGGGGGCAATTGATCGATGGACTTGCCTCAGTCTAGGGCCAGGTCACCATGGGGCTTCCTAGCACTTGCTTGCTGTGGGGTGGGATTAGCACAAGGTGAATGTTGGGTGATAAGGCTGTCATGTTACTTGATTCTTGGTAGACAAGTCTTTATCAGGCTCCTCTGTAGGGCATGGGCAGGAAATAATGATAACAACAAATATGCTAGCAGCGCTCTGTGAGAGGCTTACTATGTATCAGAGAGGAGGCAAAGCACATGCCCTGAGTCTCTGCAAAGGTAGGGAGTGTTATTCTCTTCACTTGTCAAGCAACGAGAGTTCCACTCAAAGATATTAAATAGGGTTCCTACGTCTACCTGGCTAAACATGGAACACAGAGTCCACGATGCCTGCCATATCTGTTACCCACCCTTTCCTACTTGCTGCCTTGGATGTCTGCCTTCAATCAATTGCCTTTTAGACTTGAACTCAAGACTCAGGTTGTTTCCATCCTCTTCTTGCTTAAGTATCCCTTTAGTATGAAGTCAGAATGGTTTGGACCAACATGTCATGACTAGTGTTGAAATTTTATGTCCACTGATGTCTACATGACTTTTAAAAATGATTTATTTTACATCTCTATGTTGCCTGCACTACATATGTGTAATACCCAAGGATGTCAGAAAAAGGCATCCAATCCCTTTGAAATTGAGTTACAGTCATGCGGGTGCTGGGAACTGAACCTGGGTCCTCTGCAAGTACATCATGTAAATACTATTAATTGCTCAGGGATGCCTACAGTACCGTGATGTCATAGGACTTTTACATGAGTTAGCAACACTCATATAGATTGCAGTAAAATGTGGGAGGAGACTCTGGCTAAAGCACAGCATGTATATGTAACAGTAAATAAAATAGGAAGAAGCACCCTCACAGATACATCTAGAATAATATTCCACCAAGCATCTGGTCACACAGCAGCATGGTCAGGCTAACAGAAAATGAACCATTGTAAATTGCAATGCCTTTGAAGCTCTGGCCAGGGTTGGAGGGTCACAGGAGACCTTGCTGTGTGCACCGTTTACATGAGTTCTCTGAAAATGGGGGGACCCAGTGATGTGCATCATAGTAATTCTCTGTAGAGAAAGTCACCTGCACACTGACCTGTGTCCACTAAAAGGAGATGTAGAGGAGATTTAATCACTAAGTCTTTTCTTGGAAATAAGGTCTTCTGATGACTAATTAAACATTTTTACACTGTTTAACAAGCCATTTATCATTAACAGAAAAGGGGAGAGAAAGGCATGAATGAAGCTGAGTAAGACACCAGTCACCTTCCCTCTTGGGAACATGGCAGTGTTCTTATGGATTAGGAGTTAACCTGTACAGATTCAAAGGACGCCTCGAGGAAGCTTTTCTGTGCAGAAAATAATGCCCAAGGCAGGCAGGCAGGCTTTGTGAAGTGTTTTCCTTTGTTTGGGGAGCATTGTTTTCCCTCCCTGCTTTGTCCTTCTTGGCATTTATTCTGAGAAGAGGCAGAGGGAAGAACTATGGAGCTCAGTTCAATATGAAAAATGCAGGGTATCCTGTTAAAAATAATTGTTCAAGGAGATGGCTCATTCATTAGGGTGCCTCTCTTGTAAGCATGGGAACTTGATTTATTCCAGTTCCCAGAACCCACACTAAAAATTCTGGGCACATTGTTGGGGACATGGAGGTAAGAGAATCCCTGGGACTCCACTGGTTAGTGAGTCTAGTCTGCTTGGGGTGCTCCAGGCCCATGAGAGCGCCTGTCTCAAAAAACAAAGGGAATGGCTCTTGTGAAGCAATAAGGTCATCCTCTGACCATCACATCTCTCTCTCTCTCTCTCTCTCTCTCTCTCTCTCTCTCTCTCTCTCTCTCTCTCTCTCTCTCTGTGTGTGTGTGTCTCTCTCTCTCTTAGACACACACACTGATATTTTCATGATAGTGACAACAGAGTAATTAATTGAACAAAGGTCCTCTCTGAATGTGACTACACATGTTACTCACCTTGAAGACCATTTCTATGACAGATGAAAGAAGATTCATGTATCAGATCCACCAAGTGTTAAGGACAGGGACTGCTGCCTTGATAGACTGAGAACGTGACTTGTGGATGGTACAGATGAGACATAGCTAAGTGAGGGTAGCCTGTAGGCTAGCATCATCCAGTACACAATCCAACCCCAAGGGAATCACCAGTCTATGGTGCATCACATACACAGGAAGAACAGGTGTTGGAAACAAGGGGTGGTTCCAGTGACTGAATCTTGTGGATTTAGTGGTCCACATTCCCAAGATGGAATACTTACACTAGAGGGAACAGTAAAAGTCATCACAATGTTCTTTGGCTTCTTGTGCTAAGAGTAAAGAGAGTGAGCAATGACAGGGGCCAATTTTCACAGGTATAGCTGAACTTATGTGATACAACAAGGGCAGAGGAGAATGCCGTTGACACAAGGTAATGATTTCCATGGGTGTCTTTTGTTGCTATTGCTCCACTTTTGCTGGATGACCAAGTGGTTGGACCTCTTGGTGATGGGAATCTCTGTCTTCTCAAGCAGATGTACTATCTGTGGTGGGGAATCACGAATAGCTTCTGGAGGTAGGAATAAGGGATGGAGGGAAGGAAGGAAGAATGAGGAAGGGAAGGAAGAAGGAAGGTGGAAATAAGGTAGGAAGATGGAGAGAAAGAAGGAAGAGTGGGGAAATGAAGGGAAGAAGCAAGGAAGGAAGGAGGGAAGGGGAGAAGAAAGAGGTAAAGAAGGAAGTGGGTTAGGAATGGAAAGAAGGAAGGAAGTTTTATTGGTAGATGGAGTCATTATAGCTCATTGCATTAACCATCCTCTTCCAAATTCATCCCAGAAAAGATGCCCAGTGGAATCTTGGACGAGCTATTTCCAGATTTGATTATGTGAAGCACACAACCGAGCAGGAGAAGCAGTAGACAGTTGTGGGTACTGCACAGCACTGAGCAGATTGCTCCACTCTGGCAGTGCAAAATAATTCCCTCAGCTGCTTGGCTTTTGGCAGCTGCAAGCTCTCTTAGCCAAACTCTTTTCAAAGATTTGCCTTCAGCTAAAAAGTGCTTGGCTCATGATTAGGGGTAGGCCATATATAATGCCCTGTTTATATGAGTGTTAAGCTGTGGTTCCCATCCCAATTCAGGGTGACGGAAGGGTCAGTTCAAGTTCAGAGTCGCTCCTGAAGTCTTTGTGACTGTGTCTTAGTTCACTGGACTAGTTCTGGGTCTCTATTTCCTCATGGGTGTTGAGAATTCCCCAATGAAATTCCTGTATGCAAACTTGTTTCACAGAATCAGCTTTTGGGAGACTGTGATAGTGAGTGAATACATTTATCAATTATTAAACACAGTTTATCATTACCATATACATTCATGCTGCAC